TAAATAAAGCTTGCCTGGAGAGTCGAGGAAAAGGCAAGCCATTATAAGTAAACAAGGAAGTCAGGCAACTGTAGCACCTGCCTTAATCCTAACAATTGGAAGGCAGGCATCTGTCTGGATCTCTGTGTGTTCAAAGCCACACTGGAAACAGAGCCAGGTGTGGTAGCACTTGCCTTAAATTCCAACACTAGTTAACCATGGATCTCTGTACAGACTGACAGGAATTGAGAGAGCTGGGCATTAAAGAGGAAGTGATGCAACTGGACAGAGAGAGCAAATTGGCAGAACAGCAAGGCATATAGGTGTCGGTGGACAGGAAGTATCTCTCATTTGGGAGCTGCAGAGTTGGTGAGGTGATGTTAGCTTGTGGCTGTCCTATTCCTCTGATCTCTCTCAGGCTTTAATCCCTATGTCTGGCTCCATGACTTTTATTTAATGAGACCATTAGAAGGTCATCTACAATTGGTGACCAGTGATTGTGGCAAGAATTCACTGAAAAGCTGCTTGTTCCAGGCCCCCTTTCTCAGGTCTGAGCTAGAAGACTCAGGCCGAGCTGCACGTGGCCAGAGTTTCTTTCGTTTCTTCTCTTGTGGTAGGTGTGGGCTCTCTCTGGATTCCTATCTCAGACTGCTCCCACACACTAGTTAGCTGATTTGAATTTCCCTCAGAATTCTACTGTTCTACACAGTCAACAGACTTGGTAAGTTAATTCAGATGTCTTAAAGGGTAAAATTAGTTTAAAGAGAATTTTTTCACCACATTAAAAAATGAGAAACATTTTTACTATGGAAGGAATTGGCTCTCTGTTTGATAATACATTAGGCTATTTGAAAGCAGAACAATTAAATGAGAGGAAAATTAATATGTATGAGATGTACATAGCATCAATTATAAATATTATTTGTTTGATCATTTTTATTTTAGCATTAAAATGGTTAGTCAGTTTAAGTGCCAACCTAAAAGCTTTAGAAAAATCTGTTAAAATGAATCACAGAGGAATTCAGGTCCAGACAAAAGCATTTAAAGGTGGACATTTCTCAGGATTGACTTTAGAAAAACCTGTTTAAATGAGTTATAGAGAAATCCAGACCTGGACAGAAGGTGAAGGTGAAATTATCTCAGGATTGAATTATATGGCTACAGAGATACAGCCTCAGGTTTCCTGACAGCTAATTTAAATCAGCTAATTTAAATCTACCCAATAATCTTAGAGGAATTGCCAAATGCTCACAGTGTGAACAAGCTAACTGGACTCCAGTAGAAATGTTAGATTTAAGGAGATATAAAGAAGGTATAGTATCATATGGCATGCATTCTTGATTTGTAAAGCAGATGTTAAACTCGTGGTCAACTTGTAATAAAATTATTCCTCAGGCCTAAAAAGAGTTAATTATAGGTGTCCTAGAGGCCAATTCACAGTTATAGTGGGGAACATGGTTTAAAGAGAAGGTAAATCAATAGACTAATGATATAGAACTAGAGGTGTGGAAATTTCCCAGGATCAGCTTCTTGGAGAAGGTGATTATGCTGATCCACAAAATCAATATTGATAGGATAACCAAACCTTAATTCTATGCCACATGGCAGACATGAATGCATGGAACAGAATTGAGGAGGCAGAAAAAAAATTGAATCATTTCTGAAAGTTATACATGGGCCCAGAGATTTCTTCATGGATTTCTTACAAAGTGCTGTCTCCTGCAGTAAATAGAGTGATACCAAATTCAGAAGCTAGACTGATAAGAATGGAATCTTTGGCTTTTGAGAATGCAAATGCACCATATCAAGGAATAATCAGGCTATTGAAGGCAAGATCAGCACCCTGGGAGG